TGGTGTGGATTTATGGCTGGTGGCAAAGGAATGGAAACAAAGAAAATGAAAGATTGTTAGGAATTTTATTTATGAAATCTTTCATACTTTCTTCCTATAGACATTATTTGATGAAGGCTGGCATCAAATTCGTCTCTTAGTAACAGAACAAGATGTAACTCTGTATATCGATGATCAACAAATTGAAAACAAGCCCTTACATCCAGTTTTAGGGATCTTCATCAGCGGGCAAACTCAAATTGGAAAGTATTCTGGGAAAGAAGAAACTGTTCAGGTTGATAAAAAATCATTTGCTTTTTGCATTGTATAAAGTGAGCTTTTGCGGTCCTTTGTGGTAGTATTTCTCACATTTAATTGTATTTAACTTAATTATTAGTTCCTTTAAGACACTTAAACAAAATGTGGTCAGTTTATTAGTGGAGTTGTGTGTTTGAGTGTGTGGATGAAAATGCAAAATTAGGCTCAATAGATTTTATAAGAATTCTTAGAAAACTGTTCCCCTGGGTTCAGGGTAGAATTTTGCATTCTTATGAAACATTAATTTCATATTTCCCAGGAGAAGCATAGATTAAATAACAACTTGGAAAAGAGACTGTGATTAGAGCTGTGAGTCGGGAACTATAAAATTTCCCTGCAGCTGTGAGGTTACAATCAGATTAATGTGTTTCAACACGCTTTCTTCTTAAACAAAACTGTTATTTTTTTGATTTTTTTTTTTAAAAACTGGAGTATCTGTGTGAGTTGAGAAATGTGTATATAAAAGGATAGCCATGTCTTGGACAGTCCTTATTTGAAAAGTTATACTTTCCCGCTCTGTTTCTATGAAGGGAAGACTGTCAAATTCAAATTACACCATGCTCTCTATACCTTCATGTTACCTGTCAGAGTATAGGAAATATTTTAACAGCAACAGGTGCTTGGACTACTCATCACACAACCAGCAATGCCAGCAACTAGATCTCTGAAACCAAAGATGACTTCTTAAGCCCACTCTTTTGTAATCAGAAATGTAAAGATTTAGGATAAACACAGAAGGCCTGAGAAAGCTTTTAAGTGTCCCAGGAAATGCTCTCTAGGCTAGCTCTTAGTATAGAGACACTAAAAAAGCTCCAGTGGGTTCCTGAAGGAAATTAGACATTGTTTTTGGTGCTAGAGTTTTCCTTATGAATTATGTTTTATCACATTTTTAAACTGCATGATAGGTATTTAAATTCCGTATTGTTATTTTTTAGCTAAGTGCTGTGATGTAAGCCTTCCGTGACCGCTCATGTAGTTGGGTCACTCTTATGAAGCAGTTAACTTGGGTCTCAATTTTAACATGATGGGGTTTATGTTCTAGTTTGATGTCCAGAAGTTGCGAGTCTACTGTGACCCAGAGCAGAACAACCGGGAGACAGCGTGTGAGATTCCTGGATTTGTGAGTAGGGTGAATTCCTTTTTCCCGTGTCCCTTCAGAACTTTCAGAGCAGTAAATAAAAGATAATGCGTGAGCCTTAATTTAATGACAGAGTTAATTTGTTTGTTGTCAGTGCAGTTAAAGTCACATTGATTAAAACATATTTTGAGGTTCATAATTGAAGTGAAAGGATAATGTATCACTGCGCAAGTGTAAATGGAAGAGAACAAGGAAATGTTTTTTTCACCCCTCGGAGTGTGATGTTTCTGGCACTCAAGTGAAACAGGGCTGGACCTGCTCTAGGAAAATCTAGGATTCTTTGACTATCCAGAGCGTAAAATACATTTCTATACTTAATTAAATGTGTGGACAGAATATCCTACATAGCACAGTTCTAAAGAATAGGAAGTGATGAATTTTCCTGGTCACCAGCACGTTTTCTCAAACCATAATGAAAATACAGGTTTCTTTTTGTTGTTACCTAAGGAAGATTTTCTTGTATTTCGAGGATATAAGTAACTTTTCTTTACATGGTTATTTTCATTACTGTGTTAGGAGGCAAAAATTATAAGCTAAAATGTTAGAGTCTGATGACATATGTGTGCTTGTGGTGTTTGTGTGTGTGTAATCCTTTTTCCCTTGGGCAAAAAAATAAAAAGCCATATTTTTGTAATGCAAATAAGAATGTTTTAAACTTTTCGCAGTGAGGATTCGCAGTAACATTTGAGCTCATGTCATAGTTCTTTTATTTTGTAGAGTCATGCTACCATTATCTTTTTTTTCTAACAAACTGGATAACCTACAAATCCACATGTTCTGAAAACTTGAGGATGTAGAATAGTGCATTTAAAGGCTCTCTAATAATATCAACCATGGAACCTTTTAGAAATGATTCATTCTTGGTTTATTAGAGAGGTAATTGTTTAAACACTGTAACTTTTATATTAGATACTTATAACTTGAAATACAGACCTCTAGTCTCTCCTAAAAGTATTAATACATGATTACATTCTAAGAGTCCATTTTATATACTCTTATTTATTGGTATTTCTGCATCTATGTTATGACCATTTCCCTCCCACATCATAAAAGCACAGGGATAGATGGTAGATTTTGAGTTCTCACATTCACTTTTCTGAGTTTTTATGTCTCCTTTCTTACTCTCGGGTGTGACTTCATGTAGCTTACCTTTTGCATCTTTATTCCCATTTTCTCCTTTTTTGATCTAATTTGTTATTGTCTGGAAAGATTATTAACCTTTTTAAAATTGTGTATTATTCAGTAAGAAGCAGATTTTTTGGTGAGGAGGTCTCCTAAAATAAAATGCAAAAAATGTAATGCACAAGATTTGTGACTTTCTTAGATGTGTTTTGACTTTTTCTTTTGGTTTTCAAATGACTTCCAGAAAGTTCAAGAGAACATATAAATCTCACCCTGGAGTATTTTTGCTCCTGTGTGGCCATTATACCAAGCAGCTTTGGCATTTCCATTTTCTTCTTCCACTCTTCATTGTTGTTCAAGTCTGTCCTTTATCCTACTGTAAATGTCATCATAACATATATTAATGTCATTTTCTTTAGGGGAGTTGCACGTACATGTTTTTGGTTTTGCTGGTTTTGATACTTCATGTATCTAGAACATGGACGATGAAATAACTATAAATTAGGATGATAATTTAGAAATTTAAAAGTGTCCTTTAAAACACATTCATTGTTGTTTTTTCTTTCAGAATGGTGAGGTAGGCCTGGAAGCTATTATTCTCCTTAAGGTAATATTTGTATTGTGGGACTGTTTTGGTTCCTTCTATCAACTGTAAGTATATTAGACAAATAGAACTTATTTTTATGTATTTTGAGTGCATTTAGTTTTCATAGCTTTTTGTGATTCAGAATTTCTTAATGGATTGTGCTAAATAATATTGGAAAGTAGACATATCTTTCCAGCTTCACACATATGTGCAGACACCTTTACATACTAACGTACGTACAGATATACATGTGTCTTTCCATGTTTGTTGTTGATTTCCATTTTTGTCTCTGTAGTGCCTCAATGGTCCCAGTGATGTAGGTTCAACTCCATCTCCCTGTGTTTGTCCTCCGGGAAAACCAGGACTGCAAGGCCCCAAAGTGAGTAATACCGAACTTGCTTTTTTTGTTAATACACACAAACTAGAGGTGAGCAAATGCACAAAAGTCCTAGTCACCAGTGATGCTGTTGTGAAATTTCTACCTAATGCTTTAGAACAGTTTAAAACCTGAGTTTTAGTGATTTTTTTAAAGAGTGTATTCCAGACTATACTGCCTTTGAACCTAGAACTGATACCACCTAGGCACAGTACAGTGAGGGAGTATTAGTAGTTTATTTGTCTGTCTGTTTTTTTTCCAAACACTGCTGCCAGATTCCCAGTACGGTATCTCCTTACAACCTCATAAAAAATGAAGAAATGTCATTTGTTGAGTTATGTTTCTGAATCCTTATTTTCTCAAAATGATTTCCAGGTAGAAAATAAGAGTAGAAGTGTTAAAGTTGATTTCAGTGTTATGTTTGATGTCTAATTCTAAAAACTGAGGCATATATATTAATTTTACGTAATCGTGCAGTAATTGCTTTTGGGGTGTATGTTCTGTTAGTCATGTTCATATATGCACATGTTCTGCTTCCATCTATTGATTTGTGTGTGAATAGAGTTTGTGTGTATGTTTACATATTTGTCTGTGTATACATCTTTATATGATTGAAGCCATGATGTGCATACCATTTTATAACCAGCTACTTTTTATATAACTAAAAAGTCTGAATATACTTCTGTGCTATTAAGTATGAATGACTGTTTTTAAGTTAATACTTACTGTGGGATCACTTAGACTTAGCTTGATACCGAGATATTAAGTGGTTTGTCTACTATATATAAATCTTGCTAATTTTTTTTTAGGATTTATTTAATTATTTATTTTAGAGACCCTGCAAATGGGTGTGGGGGGAGGGGCAGAGGGAGAGTGAGAATCTTAAGCAGGCTGTGTGCCAAGTACTTAGCCCAATACAGGGCTTGATCTCACGACCCTGAGTCCATGACCTGAGCCAGAATCAAGAGTTGTTCAGTTAACCAGCTGAGCCACCCAGGCACCACTAAATCTTATTCATTTAATATTATCTTAAAATATCACTTAAATAAAAATAATGCCTAACTTGGAATTGGATATGACTCCCTTGCCAAAAAGAGTATTGATCATTTATTGCTTTAGGTGTCCACGCAACATTTATTAACTTTTGTTGAATATGAATTGTAACATTTATTTAGATGGAATTTCCTTAGTGTTTCAGTCACCATGACTGAAAATTTTAGCTTTTAAACTGCTCATCTGTTTCCTACCATCTTTTATGCATGTTTCTCCCATCCACTTTTTTAATTTAAATTCAATTAGCCAACATATAGTACACCATTAGTTTCTAATGTAGTGTTCAGTGACTCATCAGTTGCTTGTAACACCCAGTGCTCATCACATTTTTATTTGGTAGCTCATGGCCTACTTCAGGCCTCACATTAAAATCAAGAAATAAATGTAATTTAAGAAGTAAAAGTATACATTCACTATTTCATTCACAGTAAATCTGTTTGGCTTGGAATTTGACTTTAGTTTATTATAAACTATTATAAACATAAACTATTTTTAGATTTCAATTAGCAATAATCGCGCCTCGGATAAACCTCATTGGCTACGATACTGCCACTGCGCAAAGCTATTTTTAGATTTCATTTAGGAAAGTTAATCCAGGTGTTCTTTGTTCTTTAGTTAAAGCAGCTGCATGTTATTTAGGGTTCCTTGACATAAAGAAGAAATGCCTATAGGATACTCCTGGGAGAATATAACTTGTAAGACAACTTGGTGTGACCTACCAGCAGACTTCTTTTAAAGCATATATATTTATATACACACATAAACACACACACACACGTAGTTTATTCAACTTGGAATATTACACATAAAAGTGATTTGATCTGTAAGAGATAAAATATGGAAATCAGATGTGTATGATATCTGACCTCTCAAAACCTCCTGTGCTTTTCTGACTCCCAGAGAGGTTCAGGCCACCCTCAGGATCTCTAAAAGTGCTGTCTACTTTTGGGGAGGCATCAGATATCTCTGATGTTTTCTGAATCTTTACTAGAGGTCTATTAGGTGTCTTGAAGTGACATCAATTCTTATTTGTGTATGTTTCTGCAGCAGATTTTTAGTATACCCTTTGTCTTATCTGGTCAAGCTTCTTATACCGGAGTATTTCCAAGTTTCATGTGCTCCTCATTTTCATTTTCTTTTCTTAAGTCATAATCTCGTGCTATTGCCACCTACTTCTTTAAGTGAAATTGCAGTTTTCCACCAATCTTTTAAGTTGGCGTGCCTTCTTGATCTGCTTTCCATTTTCTTCAGAAAATCTGGCCAGAGGATAGGAACACACACACACTCTTCCATACTTTTAGGGCTCTTTTCCCTGGAGGTGGTTCCTTACCCACATCAGTGACCTGTATGTGAAAAACAGAATCCCTAGCAACACTCTGAGTTGTATTTCCTTCAGAGAATTTCTGGCTTGGGGAATTAAGAGGGTTTTAATTAGATTAACAGAACTGGAACTAAAATAGAGGAAGCCATTTTCCTGTAGCTCCAACTGAGACTTATTGGCCATTTTTGTTAGATGTTCTCTGGAAAGTTTTGCAGATGTCCATCAAACAGAGTTACCTGTGAAGAACAGATCTTGTCTTCCTGTTAGCCAGAAATAGAGTTGTGGGAGCTGAGAGTTGAGTTCTCATACTGAAACAGGAGAAATTTTTGTGTGGATAGGTGGGTCAGTGCTTATTCAAAGATAAACTCATCTGTTTAAAATTGTCTGAGTTTCCAAAAGACATTACAACCCTATTGGGAAAACCAGGTCAAATTAACTATGGTATCTTAGACTCACCATGGCATTATAACTCTATAATCATAGAAATATATTTATGTTACTGGAGTATGAGTTCCTTGAAGAATGGCTAATTCATTTTGTATTCCTAATGTCAAACATAGGGAGTGATCAAATTAATAAATCTGTTGGAATACTTTTTATATGCAAGCACTTCATAATGAAGGTTAATACAAATAAATTCTCCCTTGGAATTCTAGTGTCTAACACAGTGCTTAATGGTAATAGTTTTTATTTAATGAGTTAGGAAGTCATTGAAAAAATAAGATTCACCCCTCTTCCCAGTTAACCTATATGGGATGGCTTTGTTGTGATATGAAAGATCCAGGCAATCCCCAACTTACAACCCCCCTTTTCAAAAGACCTTTCCATGTAAATGGCAACTTCTTCCCCCACTTCAGTAGTAAGAACATTTGTGAGGACAAACTCCCCATGTTTGATCTAACCTTGATGTTAGGTCTTTTGTTTCAGAAGTGGAAAGAAGGCATTTTTTCTTTTGAGGAAGGAACAATTTCTTACTAATCCTTTTCTCTGAAATACCACCCTCTATACCAGTGTATTTCTGTTAATTTCCTTTGTTTCACCCTCCAGATACCACCATTAGAGATTCATTCTGGCTATCAAAGTGTCCTCTGTTTAAAATACAAAAACCTTTGGAAAATTTCAGGGGCCACTGGGCATTCACATTTTTATGTTAATTTTCCCAGACTAAGTGGATTCCTTCTAGCCTGAGAGTGTGGGTGTTTGAGTTTTGAGGGAGGGAAGAGGTTGGTTTAGGAAAAGGGTGTAGGTTTTAGGTCAGTTACTCCTGTGGAGTCTGGAGGGTTGCATGAAGCCACAAGGAATTTTGAGAAGAGGGCTTGAACATATAGGATTTGGGCCTAGGCGAAGAGTTCCAAAGACATTTGTTTTAGATGAGCAACTGAAAATACTAGCTTGCTTTTGCAAGCACAACTGTTTCTTACTTTGATTATTCATATTTATACTACTTGAGAGGCCATATTCAGAGATGTTTCAGCTTAGTCCATGACATTTCTACTCCTGTCAACAACTCAAAAATCCTGTGGCACAAGTTTAATTGAACATAAGTAAGTCCTGCTTTTCAGCTGAACACATAGTTTTTAAAAATTCGAAATGTGCAAATGTTTCAACTAAATTAGAAGAAAGTGGATTGGGAATTTAGTCACAGTTGTATAATAATAGCTCCTATGTCTCATTTAATGTATTTGGAAATTGTTCCTTTGTTAAGTTTACTAGCAGTCCCCAGGTCTGGTTCTAATTAACATGTTAATTATGGGCAGGGATAGTAGTGTTTAGGAGCATGGACTCTGGAGCTGAATTGGCTGAGTTCAAGTGTCATCTCCACTAGGGCTGTGTGCCCTTGAGCAAGTGACTTAACCCTTCGGGGCCTCAGTTTTCCTATATAAAAAGTGAGAATAATAAAATTACTTGCTTCATGGGATTATTATGAGGATTAAGTAATTTAGCATATGTAAATCTCTTACAGCTGTGCTTAGCATATAATAAACAATCCAGGTAGAGCATCAGCTTTTATTACAGTAATACACTTGAATTTTTATTCTGATTGGTTTTCTCTCCAAAATTAGTGTCTGTCTTTATTTTCCCAATTTAATGGAAACACCACCAAACCTTCCTGGTTTTTGCAAATAAATCAATAGGGCAATAGTCAAAATAACCAGTAAAATTTACCAGCAATAATAGAACCTGCAAAAGGTTATTTTCTCTCTTAGGGCTCTTTACCAGTGTTATGGTCCTTTTAAAGTCTCATTGGATTTATCTTGTGAGTGATTTTTTTTTTTTTTTGTCTTGGAAACTTAGTTTTTATTTATTTAAAATGTTGTTAATATGTTTTATGCTTTGACACAATGCTAAAAACAAATTTCATTTATTGTTTTATCAAAGCTGTATTCCAGCTTTATCACAGTAGAGGATAAATTCCAGGTCCTTTTGATATCCTAGATTTTGCTGATAATAATACTCTGCAAGTAAAGGGGATCATTAACAGGAAATGAGATTTATAGTAAATCCGCAAATAGTTATTGAAGTTCTGCTTGATACCCAGCATTATCAACCCTCTCAACCATTCAAAAAAAAGGAGAAAATAAAGACTCTTTTCAATCCAAATGATAAATGAAGACTAATCAAGGGAAGACTGAGAAAACTCTGCTTATGAGTAAGGGATAAGTGATAGAAGCTGCTTAGCCTTTCAATAGAAAAAGACAGTAAGGAAAAAAAGGAATGATGGATTCTTAAGTGAAAAAGGAAGAAAAACTTCTTGTCAGGAGAAGAAAAGATGTAATTTGTTGAAAGGATAACAAGTTCAGTTTGAACAGGGTTAAAGGATGGCAGAGAGGCTAGAGATTAATGTGGATCCTCTCAAAATAAGAAGAGAATAACTAACTCCCTAGAGAACCAGAATGTTACTCTTTAATGCCCAGCTAACAGTGGAAGTCTTTGGGTTAGTATTATAAATTCTATCTCTTCAGCAAGACAGGACATGTTTCTCCCTGTATTTACAGTTATTCTTTCTCTTTCTCTCTTTTAAAAATAACATTTCCATTCTTCTCAACCCTTCCTCATGCTATGTCTCTTGGGCAGCTCCTAAGTGAAAAGCCCAACCCTTCTCCATTGGCCACTTAACAGAGTTCACATAGTTCTTTTCATTTTTCCTGTTATGTTTCAGGAACAACTGTCTGTAGCCAGTAGCCTGAAGTAGTATTTCAGATCTGCAGATTTGGCTCTGTGAAAGTAACCTTAGTATTGGTGTTTAGTTAATTTAAAATTATTGGAGTCCTGTGTGAATGAGTTCTTAATGTAAATAATGACTTAATGAACTGAAATCAGCTGCCTTGCCTCTGTGCAGGAGTTTACTGATACTGATGGTTGAGACTTCATGTTTTTAAGTAAGATGGCCCATGTGGCTCTCATGGATTCAGCAATAGATTAATATGATACTAATTTTGAAGTCTTTTTTAGAATTAGATATGCAACATCCTCACCTCACAAAAGGTGTTGCTCTCATTGTTTTTGTTCATGGGTGGTGACTAATCAAATGGTCAGTACTGGCCTTTGGACAACATACTAGAGTTTCCTTAGAATGTGCCTGGGCTCATTGTCATATTGTATGGAATAATGTTCTTTGGAGATCCTTGGTTTGTGGGGGCAAAGGTCATTTCTTCATTTATTAGTCCTTGTGTTCAAGGACTATGGGGGTTGGGTAGAGTTGTTTGGCTTGGGCCTCGCTCTCATGTAAATATTCAGATGTAAAAATTTTAACATTATGTTAAAATGAAGTTACAAATATAGGCAAAGAAACACATTGACTAGAATAAAAGAAATGACTGTCATGCTGCTTTAAACTTGAATCTTGTGTGAAAGATTGTATAGCCTGCAGACTTTTTAAAAAATTTTTTATTAAAATAATTTTTTTTTCTAAAGATTTTTATTCATTTATTTGACAGATAGAGATCACAAGCAGGGAGAGAGGCAGGCAGAGAGAGCGATGGGGAAGCAGGCTCCCTGCTGAGCAGTGAGCCCGATGAGGGGCTCGATCCCAGGACCCCGGGATCATGACCCAAGCCAAAGGCAGAGGCTTTAACCCACTGAGCCACCCAGGTGCCCCAGACTTTTTTTTTTAAATAAATAATTGCAAATCAAATTATTACATCATAGGTCATTGATATCTGTAGTGTAATATTGAGAATAGAATTAAGTCTAAATAGAGTTATGAAAGAAAGATGGCTATCATTGAGACCATATTGCTATG